CTCTGAATGGAATGGGAAACAGGCATATTTTAAACTTAGAACCCAAGACAGATCATCAGGATCTAGCTGATGCTTATATTAAAAACAGAACAATGCTGGCCATAGTGGTCCACACTAGTAATCAGTGTTATGGTTTGGATGTGAAGTGTCCCTCAAAAGCTCATGTGATAGAAAATGCAAGAATGTTCAAAGGCGAAATGATTGGGTTGTGAGAACCTTGACCCAATTAGTGAATTAATCTCCTGCTAGGGATTAACGGAGTGGTAACTGAAAAGGCAGGGTGTGGCTGGAGGAGGTGGGGATTGGGGCATGGCTTTGGGATATATATTTTGTACCTGGATATTTATTCTGTATCCCTTTCTCTCTGCTTCCTGATTCTGATGTGAGCTGCTTCCTTCTGCCACACTCTTCCTCTATGATGTTCAACCTTATCTTGAGCCCCAGGGATTGGAGTGGACCTTCTATGAACTAAGATTTCTGAATCCATGAGCTTCTAAATAAACTTTTCCTTCTTTACAGTTATTCTGGTTGGGTCCCTTTAGTCACAGCAGTGAAACAGCTGACTAAACCGCCCAGCAACACAGGAGCTGAGGCTAGAGGATCACAAGTCCCAGGCCAGCCGTAGCAACTTATGTAGAGATAAAAAATAAAGAAAAGGGAACACAGCTCAGTGGTAGAACCCCCTGGAGTCAATCCCTAGTACCATAAATAAAACCAAAAACATAAAAAACAAAAAACAAAAAATCCCCATAACTCGACAGTTTATGCTAAAATGTTTCTAAATGAAATAAAATCTAGAATAATAAGGTAAAATGATTCCTTAAATACAAAACATAATCATCAATTTGTTTTTAAAATAGTACAGTTTTTAAAATACTATAAGGCAACTATAATGAACCAATAGGAAATGTGAACAAAGTACTATAAATTTCTAAAATACTATATTAGAAAAGTGAGAATCCTGGTCATGAAACATTCTCAGAAAGTTAAAAACTACTGAAATACTTTCATACCGATTTGGGACTAACAAAAGTATTGTCCAAATACCACCATACTAACAAGGAATAAGGACTTTTACTGAGAGGATACTGAATGCAAGTTTCTAATGCACCCAATATTTAAGCAATATTAGAGAGTGCTACATAACTGTTATTACTATTTAAGGTTGTAAGATAAAAATAACTATCCTAGTGAATGTTAAAATCTACTTTTAAAATATTTTTATTTTTCATTTGTCAATAGTTTTTTATTTTATTTATTCATATGTGGTGCTGAGAATTGAACCCAGTGCCTCACACATGCTAGGCAAGCATTGTATTACTGAGCCACAAACCCGGCCTAAAATCTACTTTTTTTAACATATCTTTTTAAACTCTTACCTGCTGAATAAGATGCATGCACTTTGAAGACTGCACTCCATAGGCATTGTTGACTATATGTGGAATGTCATAATTAGCACAAATCACAGCCAGCTCTTCTAATCTAAGCACAAATACACAACAGGAAGTCATACACTGTGCTTTTTAAATTATAATGTGGAAACTTTTTTTAACTTAACAATCAACATTAATGTATACAGGGGGCAGGGGGACACTGAAATTTCTTCTGTACTCTCTCAGCATATATAATTCAGCAGTTTGGAAATACAAAGCAAGCACTTTAGAAAAGCCTAAAAAAACCTTTTAAATTAACGTTACCAATAAATAAGAAAAAAAATATAAAAATTTACGTAGATAGTAACTTTTAAATCATTAAAAAAATTCCTGTATACAAAGCAAGAAGATTATTCATATTGACCCCTCACAAAACAATATATTCTTTTTTAAATTCGACCAGTTGCTTACCATACCAATGCTAGTATCTGCAAGATAATTAACATATCTGGAAATCTTCAGAAAACTCACTTTAAACCATCATAAAATATACATTTTCAAATAAGTTTAATGTATTAAAAGTACACGATGTTGAAATGTTTCAGTACTAAAATAAGTGCCATTTTCTAATACCTTGTATATCAGCAGAATCTTTTAAATAATTGCTTAAATCTGTAATTATTCACTCACACTTTTTCATTTTACACCTCTCACATTAAGACAATTTCAATCTAACTTTAAATGAAGCTAACAAATCTCAGTACATAATAAAAAGGGTCCTTCACAAAACCAAATGCTATTTATGACTGAAGTCATCTGTAATAGAAATGTCTTCACTATGAAACTAAAACTAATTCCTATGGTTTAAGAAAATTATTTCTTTTAAAGCTTCCTTTCACATAAAAGAATTTAAAAGCAAAGTATCTTTATATAATAAAAATTTTCTTCTAAAAGGATATATTTCAAATATACATTATATATAATACGTTTTATACATGATATTATACATTATACATGATACATTTTCTTTTTTTTAAGTAGATGTGTATTCATGTTTTCAAACTATAAATAGAAATAAGATTATTGTGCTCAACAAAATTTTCATTTTCAATTTGTATCCCTAAATTTTATGAACTGAAAACTCATTTTATCATCTATTTTCATAAACTTCACAAATCAATATAGAAATTATTTTGTTACTTAAAAATAATCAGATGTTTTTAACAAATCAGACCTTCTGTGATTCATATATTCACAAGAGAAAAGGCACTTTCACATATATGTGATCTAATAAAAACATTCCCTAATAAAGCACTTCCTTGGGGCTGGAGATATAGTTGGTAGAGTGCTTGCCTCACATGAACAAGGCCATGGATTCAATCCCCAGCACCACAAAAAAAAACCTTCCTTGAAAATAGTGTACCATAATAAAATCAAAATTATATTTTAAAAAGAATACAATCACTTGTGAGTATAGTTTTAAATAATCTGATCAAATGCATTAATAGGATTATGAAAATACATTAAATAAAAAGCAAGCAGAAAAATAATTTCCATAGGGATCAGATAATCCAACTAATTTAAGCTAATTTAAGGTGTTAACTAAAAGAAATGACACCCTTCTTTTAACATCTCTTTTAAGAATATTTCCCCTATAATATTCCAGTTATCTAATCAAAATAAAATATATGCCATACCATTAAAATGAGGTATTAAAGGAAGTACACTTGACATAAAGGAATCAAAATGTAATTGTAAAATTTAATAAAATCAGAAATTCAAACATATCACTAACTATACATGCCATTTTTTCCTGAACTTCCTTCTTAACAGAAACATTCATGGGGCTGAGGTTGTGGCTCAGCGGTATAGTGCTCGTCTAGCACATGTGAGGCACTGGGTTCGATCCTCAGCACCACATAAAAATAATAAATAAAATAAAGGTGTTGTGTCCAACTACAAAAAAAAAAAAAAGAAAAGAAACATTGATTACATAACACTACTAAAAAGTGACAAATGAGAATTTTGCTGATTAAAAAAATTTAACATTTTTTTCTAACAGAGATAATAGATGTAAAATACTCAACACTGCACCATGCATACTGTAAACATTAGTCAAAATAAAAATAAAACTCTCCCCAAGGATACATAATCCAACCAATGTAAATATCCACATGTTATTTTTTATTTATTTATTTATTTTAGTTGCAGATGGACACAATACCTTTGTTTTATTTATTTTTATGTGGTGCTGGGAATCAAACCCAGTTATCACATATGCAAGGCAAGAGCTCTACCACTGAGCTATAGCCCCATATGCTATTTTTGGAAACGTGAGTTCTTTATCACATTAAATTTTTTCCTAGATAGCAAAACGAACAAACAAGAATAGAAATGTTTATTTAATATTTCAATACAGGGGAACTTTCCAGAGCACTTGGGGAGAGGTGGAGGAGCTGCAGCTGCCCAAGCTGCACAGTAAAACCCTCCCACCCACTCCCCTATAATGGCCCCAGCCTGCTCACCAGCTGTAGAAAATGGTGAAAGAAACCACTTACTATAATGTTTAGGGGGCGGGGGGTCAAACCCAATGCCACCCAGGAAGAATTGAAAAAGGCTTACAGGAAACTGGCCTTGAAGTACCAAGGATAAGAATACAAAGGAAAGAGAAAAGGCAAAAATGTTGTGCATCAGCTCTCAGTAACATCAGAAGATTTATATAATGGTGCACAAGAAAACCGGCTCTGCAAAAGAATGTGATTTGTGACAAATGTGAAGGCTGAGGTGGTAAGAAAGGGGCAGTAGAGTGCTGTCCCAAATGCCAAGGTACTGGAATGCAAATAAGAATTCATCAGTTAGAACCTGGAATGGTTCACCAAATTCAGTCTGTGTACATGGAGAGCCCAGGTCAGCGGGAATGGATCAGTCCTAAAGATAGATGTAAAAGCTGCAATAGAAGGAAGATAGTTTGAGAGAAGATGATTCTAGAAGTTAATATTGACAAAGGCATGAAAGATGGACTGAAGATAACATTCCAAGGTGAAGGAGACCAAGAGCCAGAACTGGAACCAGGAGATATTATTGTTGTGTTAGATCAGAAGGCCCATGCTGTTTTTATTTGACAAGGAGAAGGCCTCTTCATGTATATGGACATATAGCTGGTAGAAGCATTATGTGGCTTCCAGAAGCCAGTATCACTCTTTGATAATCGAACTACAGTCATCACCTCTCATCCAGTCATATTGTCTAGCATGGAGATATAAAGTGTGTGCTAAATGAAGGTATGCCAATTTATCATAGACCAAATGAAAGGGTCACCTAACCATCGAGTTTAAGGTAAACTTTCCTGAAAATGGCTTTCTCCCTCCTGACAAACTTTCTTTGTTGGAAAAACTCCTATATCAGAGGAAGGAATTAGAAGAGACCGATGAAATGGATCTGGTAGAACTGATGGACTTTGATCCAAATCAGGAAGGATGACGCTATTATAATCGAGAAGCATATAAGGATGAAGAACATCAGCCCAGAGGTGGTGTTCAGTGTCAAACCTCTTAAGGGGGCCAGTAAATAACATTCACTGCAGGCATTTTATATGCAGTAGTGAATGGGTGAAGGACTATGATCATAATATGCTCACTACTTGCTATTGTTTTTGTTTTAAAAACAATATTCAATTATAGTAATATTTTAAAAGTTAAATGAAGAATAAACACAAATATAAAACCTCTGAAAAAATATTTCAATACAAATTTTAAATGCTTTTAAGTAAAGAATAAAAACCACTAAAGTGTACACAATATAATCAAAAATAGAATTCACAGGTTCATGAATGTAGCAAGGTAAATTTTCAAGAGCATGGTTTAAAAAGTCTCTCTCCAAATCTGTCTATAATACAAGCTAACATACATTCATTACTGCCAAATAATGAGATTCTATGAAAGCCAGAGTGTAACTTATTAATAAGTCCAAAGTCAATATAGTTCCTATAAATTATTAGTATTTCTGTTCAAAATACTAAAATGAAACAAAAACAACTACTTTAAAAAACAGAAATCTGTACTAACAAACTAAAGTGCTATTATATTTTCAGAATAAAAACTTGTGGCTATTCTTTAGAATAGTACATATTTGTTTTTATTTCCTGTTTACTTTTATTTTCTTAAATATTTATACCATTCTCAAAATAAAAACAACCACTATGAACATTTAATAAACATCAGAATTTAATCTTTCAATTTAAAAAATCTCAAAGGAAAATAAATAATCCTAAAATATTCCATTTAAAATCTGTTAATACTAATAGTTCCTATATCTGAAAACTAACAATAAGGTCAAAGAAGTAAAGAGAGCAATGAAAACAACTAAACTCAGCATTTAGCTTGGAAAAGAAATTTTTATTTAAAACAATGAGGAAATGAAAGTGCATAAATGCATTCTACTGTCATGTATAACTAATTAAAAGAAATTCAAAATTTTTTTTAAATAAGGAAAAAGATACTAAGAGACTGGAAACAGGATACACAGCAAGAAAGCAAACTGGGAATATGGTGCAAACCTGTAAACCCAGGAACTCGGGAAGCTGAGGCAGGAGGATGGCAAATTCAAGGACAGCCTGGGCAACTTAGCAAGACTGTCTCAAAATAAAAATAAAAAAGACTAGAGAGCTCAGTGATAGAGGGTTTGCCTAGCGTGTTCAAGGCCCTGGGTAGAATCCCTAGTACCACAAAAAAACAAAAAAGGCAAGAAAATATATGGCCTGCTTCTATTCAGGTAGTAAAGGGATCTCCACCCCTATACTAATTGTTTTTCCTTCTTCTACAGTAAATATTTTCTTTCCCAAGCCATTATGTTATTTTTCCATACGGTTAATCTAATCTCCTAGGACCATCCACTATTTACCACCAAATGTTATTTAAGCATATTTTAGAATTAGTATATAACACTTTATTTCAGAGACTGACAAACACGTAAAGGTCAATATCCACAAATCGTTTACCTATCAGGCACCCTTGGAGCAAAACAGGATGTAGTAGAATGAACACACAGAACATTATCAGGCCCAAGTTCCTGGACTTTAGCCTCCACAGCTTTCAGGTCTGTGCGCAGCTCATCACCTTCCAACACGTTTTCTATCACCACCGGCTCAAAACCTAACCAAGCCAACCAGAAATCTAAATGTTAGGGTGAACGAAAATAAAGTCAGATCTTGGAACTTGACACGGCAGTGCTGTTCCATGTAAGAACTCTAAATATTTTGATTGATGAGCCTTCCTCTAGTAATAAAGACCTGGCACAATGTTCACATTAGTCAAAGCCAGGTCAAAATGATGTGAAAGACTAGATAATTAGGATCACAAACCTTTTTAACACTTTGATGTGACAAAAAAAAAAAAAGAATAACTTTGGAAAATAATAAAAACAAAAATTAAATAGAATCTTCAGAAGTAATAACAGATATTGATAACAAAAAGGATCACTAGTCCAAGTCTGCTCATTCTCTGGCAATATTTCAGTTTTAATTTACAGCTCACTTTATTTCAGAGATGGACATAAATAATAATATAAATTCAAGGACTGAAACAAATCACAAACATCAAAGTTTCACCTTTAAAGAAAACTGTAATTGATTTCACTAGCTTGAGGATCACTGGCCCATCTCAACTCACAAGAACCTTCTGTGATTAAAATATAAAATTTTTGTTTAAATTTTCAATGGAAAGAGTATATTTAACTAGCAATCAATAGGTCCCACAAATAATAATTACATAAACTTTAATGGTAAACATTTAGTATCTATAAACCTAAAAGTTGTATAAGCAATATATCCACTATATTTTACATCATGTATATTTTATTACATTAAAAAAAGAAATACGGAACAGATTTAGTTAATTTTTCATTTATCTATCTGTACATAAAAATTCTGTATTTTCTCATTAGGATATTTAAAACACTATATAGGTCACTTCTCTTTTTTTTACCTGCGGTGATCATGGATTTAAAACAGGATTTCTGGTCTATTCGTGGCCATATGATATACTTTGCCTTTGGTCTTCTGTGTCGTAATGTTAAGAAACACAGAGTTAGACTCATACCAGTTGCCATAGGAACTACAAAGCAATTGGCCACTGTGTGCACACCTACAAATAAGAAGTAAAACAAAAATTAGTTACCATTGAAAAACTAACATCCTTTTTAGAGAAATGATATATTTCTTTTTTTTCAAATAAATAAGAGTCATAGCCTAAGTATTTGTTTTTATGTACTTACTCCCAGAAAGGTCACTGTCAAATTCATCCTCTGGGGTTATGACTGATTTTCTATCTTATTCAGTAACACTTCTTATATGTGTGTCCTTTTAAAAGCCAGTTATGCTGGGCACAGGCGTAAGCCTGTAATCCCAGCAGTTTAGGAGGCTGAAACAGGAGGATAATGAGTTCAAAGTCAGCCTCAGCAATTTAGTGAGGCCCTAAGCAACTTGGGGAGACCCTGTCGCTAAACAAAATATAAAAAGGGCTGAGATATAGCTCAGTGGTTAAGGGACCCTGGATTCATTCCCCCATACCAAAAAAAAAAAAAAAAGGCAGTTATATTCTTTTTAGAAGGAGGCACTAATAAAATAAATTTGGTCACCAAATGTCTTATGATTACTACAGTACATACCAGCCAACTTTATGATGTCCAGGACCAAAGAATTAGTAATCTTGTTCAAAAGGCTAGAGCCTGCAGCTTTTGGTTGCACAGCAGAAATATCCCCCGATCGTCCAATCCCATGAATGAGCCTGAGCAAAAAACAGGGCAAAGACTGGACAAATACACTCAGTATTTTAAGTGATTCAATACACAAGTATTCAATCACAATAACCAAAAAAGAACAGAGGCAATATTCAGCTATTGAATATATATGTCATCAACTATATTTAATAGAGTGAAAATATCCTATTTAAATTGAAATAATTCATCAATTTTGTGATGGTATCTAGGCTCCAAAGATGGCTACCATCAATTTCTTTTTTCCCTGCCCACACCAGGTGATGAAGTCTAATTTCCCCTCCATCTGAATCCAGATTAGCTTTAGTGATTTGCCTGCCCAGTAAGAGTTTAGCAGAAATGACTGTCTGGAACCTCTAAGCTAGTTCATAAGAGGCCCTACCTACAGTTTCACCAGGATTTTTTTTTTTTTTTTAGTTGTAGTTGGACACATAACTTTATTTTATTTATTTTTATGCGGTGCTGAGGACCGAACCCAGGGCCTCAAACATGCTAGGTGAGTGCTTTGCCACTGAGCTACAACCCCAGCCCACCACCAGGATCCTGAAACAGCTCACTCTTAGGGTGCCCTCTCTCCAAATCAAGCTGCCATGCTGGGAGGAGCCCAAGTCAAAGAGAGGCCATCGGAGTTCCCATATAATGTGAGTTAAGTCATCTTGAATAAAAATGCCCATGTGAACCTTCAGAAGACTAAACTGGCTGCCAACATCTGACCACAACTATACCAAAGAGGCAAAACAAACAATCTTTACTCTGCTAAGTCCAGTTAACACAGAGAACTATGAGAAATAATAATGTATAACTGTTTCAAGCCGTTAAGTTTTGGCATGGTTTGTTAGGCAACAACAGAAACTACACTATATAACCAGAGAAGTTCTAATGGCAATGAACTTGTTTCAAAAATTGTTCTAATTTTAAAAGACATATATGCTTCTTAAAAATATAACAATGACAATCCACTGACTTTAAACTATATGACGTTATACATTTTTTAAAAATGTCTTTAAATACTTTTTAAAATAAGAAATCTATTTGTAATCTGAAATAATTTGTAATTTATAGTTAAGCAGATCAGAAATTCTGTGTAATGGGATTATCACAGAACAGTGTTGTACTTCCTTACCATCAAAATCTCATAAACAAAGCATTTATTACTTACCAACTATGTTATAAACAAATTGTTAAATATGAAATCTTCATTCAATTTATGCATTCATGATCATTAGTTCTGACTTCAACAATTTAGCTTAAAAAGATCCTATTATGCCCAGGAAAATTTCATCATGATTTAAAATCATGGAAGACAGGAGTTTTTAAGAGAGTTTTTATATTTATCTTCCAGAAAGGTTGAAAAACAGAAAGAAATGATCATATTTAAAATCACTATCACTTCATAATTTCATGATTATCAGAACTGAAGAAAAGCTTTCTGAAATAATGAATAAAAGTGAATTAATAATCCAATACACCTTTTCCTATTTCTTTGCAACAAAAACAAATATTCATAAAATGGGACTCAGCTTAGATACAGATGGACAATGTTTTAAAGTTCTAACTATAAATCATTCT